CAGGAAAGATCCTGGAACAAATAATGAAATAATCAGTTTTCAAGCTCTAGAGGATAATAGGATTTTAAGGAATAACCAACATACAATTGTCAAAAACAAATCATGCCAAACCAATCTAATTTCCTGTTTTGACAGAGTTACTGGCTTAGTGGATAAGGGGAAGCAGTTGATGTGATTTATCTTGATTTTAGTAAGCTTTCCGCGCAGTCACATATGACATTCCCATAAACAAACCAGGGAAATGTGGTCTAGATGAAATTACTCTAAAATGGGTGCATAGCTTGTTGAAAAACCATAAGCAAAGAGTAGTTATCAATGGTTCGCTGTCAAAACTGAGAGGATGTTATCTAATGGAGTCCTGCAGAGGTCTGTCCTAGCTCTGGTGCTATTTAATATTTTCCATTAATGACTTAGATAATAGAGAGGAGAGTATGCTTATAGAATTTGCCAGCTGGGAGGGATTGCCAGCACTTTGGAGGACAAGATTAGAATTCAAAATGAGCTTGACAAATTGGAGAATTGTTCTGAAGTAAGCAAGATGATATTCAGTAAAAATAAGTGCAAAGTGCCGTATATACTCATTCATTAGCCCCTTCGTTTATAAGCCGACCCCTCAAGATGGTTAGGTAAAAATAGCAAAAACTGTATGGCTCTTTCATAAGCTGACCCTATATTTCAGGGGTTGGCAAACTTTGGCTCCTGGCCTGTTAGGGTAAGCCTCCAGCGGGCCTGGACGTTTTGTTTACCTGGAGTGCTCACAGGCATGGAAGTGGCACACCACTTCCCGCAGCTCCCGTTGGCTGGGAACGGCAAACCGCGGCCACAGGGAGCTGAGGGGCTCCATGCCTGCATACACTCCAGGTAAACAAAACGACAATGTATTTGATATTCAATTCAATGATTCCAGAGAGTTTAAAATCATCAAATTTTGGTGTAGACCCATTTATAAGCCGACCCCGGATCTTTGATGCGTCACTTTTTTACCAAAAATATTCGGCTTATGAATGAGTATATACGTTACTTCACTTAGGAAGATACAGAAGAGGGAATAATTGGCTAGGCAGTAGTACTGCTGAAAAAGATCTGGGTGTTATAGAGGATCATGAATTGAATGAGAGCTAACAACATGAGGCAACTGAGAAAAAGGATAATATTTTCTTGTGCATTAACAGAAGTGTCATATCTGAAACATGTGAGGTAATTAGTCCACTCTACTTGGCAATGGTGAGGCCTCAGCTGGAGTACTGAGTCCACACACTAAGAAAGATGAGGACAAATTGAAGAGAGTCCAGAGGTGAGCAACAAAAATGATAAAAGGTTTAGAAAATTTGATCTACTTGGAATGGTTAAAAAAAATGACCATGTTTATAGTCTTGAAAAAAGTAGACTGAGAGGGACCTGATAACAGTCTTCCAATATGTTAAGGGCTATTACATAGATGACTCTGATCAATTGTTCTCCCTGTCCACTGAAGATAGGCCAAGAAATAAAAGGCCTCCTTGCCTGCTGCAAGGGAGATTTAGGTTAGGTTAGATATCAGGAAAAGCTTTCTAACTATAAGGATAGTTAATTTTGGCATATGCTTCCCAGGGAGATTGTAGAATCCCCATCAATGGAGATTAAGAACAGGTTGGATAAACACCTGCCAGGGATGGTCTAGGTTTACTTGGCCCTGCCTTAGCACACGGGGCTGGACTTGATGAACTCTTGAGGTCCTCTCCAACCCTACATTTCCATGTCATACAGACAGCTACCCATAGTTTGGGTCACATTTTAAATATTTTCTTCTCAACCGTAGAGCTACAAACTCACTTGGGTTTTTTGGGTGGGTTTTAATGGAACAATAATCAGATGTAATCACAACTCCAGAAGCTGGGGCTCTAATATGGGCCAGTAGTGCCTAGGACCTATACCCTAATCTGGCCCTGCGGACAAATTAAGTCATTTATTTCTTCTGTGGATCACAGGCATTTAGGAAACAGAGGCAGGAGTCCAGATGTGCTAGTTAGTCCATCCATCAAAGGCTTTCAAGTGCAGCTCAGCAACTAGTCATGTGAGGAATAAGGCTCCAGTCCTATAGTAATCTCCACATAGATGAACCCTTGCACAGGCATGGAGCCCATCTTAGTTCGAGGGCCTAATTTATTAAATTCCATTTGTCCAGACGAGTTTTTGCTTTTCCTTGGCTGCCACAAGAGATATTTTCAGTCTTTTTTAATGTTAAAAACAATCTCTGTGGTATGCCCAATATGTTGAAGAAATTATTCCTGAAGAGTTCATTATTTTAAAATTGACCTATTATGCTGATACACACAATGCATATCTTGGGTTATCTGCCACTTAATTGCTGGTTAGAGCCCTGATTTACACAGCCGACCCGTTAAGACACAGAACCTTTGCATTAATTAGTTCTGCAGTAGAATTAATTCAAAATGAAAAAAGTTGACCTATTTTCTTTTTTCTTCATCCTTTTCTTGATATATACCAATTCTTTCAGTTTCTTTTACCACAGTCCCAACACACCCCACTCTCAGAAAATTAACTGTAAAACAATTTGCATGGAATACATATTTCATTTAATTTACCAAACAGATTTGCATTACCAAACCTTTTTTGTACCTCTTTATGTGAAAAGTTCATATGTTTCAGGGCATAAAATATTTCAAATAGGGGTCTTAGAATTGAAATTGAAATCTTATTCCTCCCAAATTAAAAGCTGCATCCAGTTTTGTTTACACAACCCCCTCTCTGCCAGTGAATGATAACTATGCAGATCTTCCTTCATAACTCTTTTTAGATACATCTTATATTTTCAGTGTCCAGCAGCCATGGAGAAGGTAAATGATATAGGAACCACTATCAACAAAGAGAAATTCAATATTACAACAAGCATGGGTGTCCCTGCACTCCAAGATCCACCACTGCATATCTAACTAGAAAACTTGCCTCAAAATTACCACTTCTTTGACTTTGCCTACTAGTTAAACTGTGACTCTGTGGTTATGGCAGGTAGGAGAAAAATTTGCTTCAAGCTAGTCAAAGAGCAGCTTTGTTTCTAATGTACATGTTTATTTTTTAAAATGCATTTTAAATACAAAATGTCATAAAGGAGACTAAATAAATTATGAAAAGACAAATCCCATTCTATTTATATTTCTGCATCTTTTCTTCTCAAGTAAGGTTACATGAGTATCAGTTATATGCACCAAGAAAGGAAACCACTTTAAAAATGAGGCAAATCCATGGCATCAGTTTCTCACACTCCAGTAGTGGCTTCACATTGTTTTCTAAATGGCAATAGCTACCACCTAGTCCAATTTTTTGCTTAAACGATCCATGGGGTGGGGGGATAGGGATAGGGAGCATGTCTAAACGTTGACACATTAGTACCAACATTCAAATGTGAAATATTTCTTTACAAAACTCTGTTGGCTTTAGGTATGGTCTTGAATAGAAAAAAAAAAACATTAGCAGTAGCTTCTCAGAATTAGGCTAAATAATTGGTCAATTTAAACATGACCATGCCTGTGTTCAAATATACTCTTTTCTAAATGCAATTATGTTTGAATCATTAAAATAGCTCCATCTTAAGAAGACACAGTCTGATTGAGAAGAGTGGGCCAAATTCATTGTTGCCTATAATGCTCCACTGAAGCCAATTTGACAGAGAACATCAACAAGAATCCATCATGGGTAAGGCTGCGTGTCTGTTACGGAGGTCATGGATTCCGGGACTTTCTGTGACCTCCGTGACTTCTGCAGTGGCCGGTGCAGTTGGTTCAGGGACTGCCAGGCAGCCCCTGGGCCAGCAGCACCAGCCGCTACTGGGGCAGTTTGAGTGTGGGAGGGGGCTCAGAGATGCGGCAGGGGTTGGAGTGCGGAGTGGCACGTATCTCGGGTGGCTCCCCGGAAGCGGCTGGCATGTCCCTGCAGTTCCTAGGGGCCAGGAGTCTTCGCACACCGCCCATGCTCGCAGGCGCCACGCCCCACAGATCCCACTGACTGCAGTTCCCGGCCAATGTGAGTTGCGGAGCCGGAGCTCATGGTGGGGGCAGCGAGGGGAGCGCTGGCCTTCCCTCCCCCTAGGAGTTGCAGGGACACGCAGACCCGGGTAGGGAGACTGCCAGCCCAACCAGCGGGGTTCCAGGCCACATGCTGCCACCACCCCCTACCCTCCCCCCCAGCCTGGGTGGCGGGCCGCATGCCACCACTGCTCCCTCCAGCACCTGTGGCGCCCCTGGCCCCTCCCTCCAGAGTAACCCGGCCCAAATTTTAATTAGGGGTATATAGTACAAGTCATGGACAGGTCATGGGCCATGAATTTTTGTTTACTCCCCATGACCTGTCCATGACTTTTACTAAAAATACCCGTGACTAAAACGTAGCATTAATCATGGGCAATTTTTAAATCAAGAATGGATTTATTTTTCAAAGGTATGCCTTAGCTCAAATAGGAATTATTTTGGGTAAGTTCTATGCCCTGGGCTACACAGGAAGTCACACTAGATCACATCAATTAATTTCAACAATACCAATTTATGGTATTTCACTAAGCATACTAATATTTATGAAGGAGGATTTTTGTAATATTTTAAAAAGGAGCTTAGAAGTCAGAGTATATAGAATGACACCAACTATCCATTTTGAAACATTCTTTTTTTTTTAAACTTGTTAAATAAACAATAAATCAACTCCTGTTTTTCTTCCAATGCTGTATGTTTTCTTGGCAGGGACTAGACTGCAAAGCCTATCAGAAAACAGATAAAGGAAGAAGTAAGGATAAAACACAGCAGGGGAACAGTCCCCAAGGCTGATGATTTGAACACAATTTAGTTTACAGTTAACTCACAGCATGACATTTGTAATGTCCTTTATCACCTATGAAGCTGTTTTCTCATTTCTCATTATCATTACACATAACAAGACAAGAAAATATGTATCTGTGCAAAATGTAAAAATATTTGCACATGAACACACAAGACAAAAATATGACAACTTACATTTTAAAATGAGCTTCTTCTTTACACTCTAAAAAGAAAAATATAAAGTTACCATAGGTAGAACAGGTGTACTGATCATTTTTCAAATACTTCTTTGCTTTTAATCTTCTCCCATCACGCTCACACCACTTAGCAATAGCTATAAATATTTTTCTCACTACACTTTGTCCTCATTCTAACCAAAATGCTCCAATTTTCGCTTTTTGCTTTATTTTCATTTTTAACACACATTACATTCTTCTTTAATTTTTTGGCCCTCAGGAGTATTAGACTGACACAGAGTTTACGGCACAGAGCGTGCTGCTCCTACTAGGTGGCCATAACAATGGACAAAGAAAGGGAGTGCCTGCAGCACCACACTTGTCCTGCAGAAAGAGCTATGGAGCAGCTCCACCTATGATGGGGTTTTTTGTCGATGACTGGAGGCCTGAAGTAACTGTGTAGGAGAAGCAGAGTTTTGCTGAGTCAGAAGATAAGCAGAAAAACAACCAGCGAAAACTAAAAGTACAACTAAACCCCATATTACTTCAACTATCCCTAGGAATAACTGAAACTTTTGAACAGTCAGGGTTTCAGGTAATCTAACTAGATATCTATATAAATTTTCGATTTGAGAGACAAATCCAAATGTCCAAAAATTGAGGTTAAAATAGTTGGAATTTACTTGTACCTAAAGTACAGATCTGATGGCAAAAATTCACTGTTCATGTTCTAATTCCTTCTGAAGGCTTATATTTATTGTTCTCTTATTTCTACTCATTTTTCTTCCTTTTTAAGATGTTCAATCCCATGTTAAGCCTTCCCACCCCCATTCCCACACCATTGCTCCTGCTCTCTGAGCTCACAGACAGGCTCTCTATTAGTGCTATTCTCAGCCTGAAGGAATGTTAATTGTTATAGAATTTGCACTGTAAATATCAATGTCATAAAGCAGAGTTGAATAGCAGAAGCTAAACCACAGGTCCAACACATTAGGTTTGCATCCAAACGTAGAGCAAATCTGGAAACCAGAAATTAAACATGGGGTTTTTTGTTTGCTGGTTAATTTTGGGCTCGGAAAAGAGGAAAAATAGCATATGTATGAAACAAAACAGAGAACAGGATGAGGGGCGGGGGAAAAAGTACAGTGGGATGAAATGACTAGATTAAACCACAAACAAATCCTGGCACAGATTACATTCCAAAAGATCGCTGTTTCACAAAAACACAGAGTCCCAACTCACATAAAAATGGGGAAAAAAATCTGTTGGCTTGTTGGTTTTCTAGATGATGTATAGTTTAAAAGGTTCCCTACCTTTTAAAGATTAAAAGACAAACTTCTATTAACAAAAACATTGGAGAGGCTGTACGCAAGATATAAAGAAATATTTGCTGGCATCCAATTTTCTAGCCAGCCAATTTTTCTATTAGGGTAAAACTCTCCAATCTACAGTGCAACTCTCCTCTGCATATTCTGCACCCATTCCATGCATGGAACTCCTGCTGTCATCAATGAACATTCCACGCAGGAAACAACTGCAGGATATGCAACCAAATTATCCATTACAAATCAAAGAGGATGTTGCCTTTGTTACTGAGTTTAAAATATTGGTGGAGGAACTTATAATTTTCTCTGTAAATTAGGGTGACCAGATCACCAAACTAAAATATCGGGACACATTGGGGTATGATCAGTCCCACCCACAATCCACCCCGCTCCTCCCAGGCTCTGCCCCCACTCTGCCCCAGGTCCCGCCCCCTCCCCGCTCGCCCCCGCCCCTCCCACCGTGCCCTTCCTCATCCCCCGGCTGCTGCTGGCTTGCTGCGTCCCTCCTCAGTCCCGCACCCACCACTCCCCTCCCCACGCGCTTGCTCACCCGCCCGCCGCTCACCTCTTCACCCCCCCCGCCCGCCTCTCACCCCTATGGCACCGACTTCCCCTCTGCTGGGTGGGTGCTCGCCCACCCACCGCCTCTTTCCGACCCTGCTCCGCCCTCGCCCCACCCCCACTCCACCCCCTTCCCCCAAGTCCCCACCCCTGCCCTGCTTCTTCTCCACCACCACCTCCCCTGAGCGCGCTGCATCCCCGCTCCTCCCCGCACCCTCCTGGAAAGCGCTAAGTGCTCCTAAACAGCTGTTAGGCGGCAGGAAGCGCTGGGAGGGGAGGAGCAGGGACGCGGCACATGGGGGGGGGGAGGAGACAAGGAGGGGGGAGCTTGACTGCAATTTTTCCCCGTGGGTACTCCAGCCCTGGAGCATCCACTGGGTCAGCACCTCCCTCCTGCTCGCCTCCTTACCTGAATATCGGGACAAATGGTGTCCCGATCGTACATTGATCAGGACACGGGACAAAGGTTTTAATATCGGGACAGTCCCAATTTTATGGGGACATCTGGTCACTCTACTGTAAGTTGGGAAATTAAACCTGTACATTCATATTAGTCAGAGAGAAAAAGAGAACTAGACCTAAAATTTATTTTGTAGAATTTTAATACTAAACTTAAATCCTCATTTTGAGTTGTCCATAGTTTATTCATCCTTTTTTAATTGCCTTGCCTGTATTGGCACACAGTTATTCCAGATTTCTTTCTTTCTTTTGAATGTTATCAAATTAAAGCTATAGAGGAGGTGTTTGGGAGTGGAGAGGAGAGGAGATTCAGTTGTGGCCACTGGCCAGAGGTGATGCAAAGAACAATACATCATTCAAACCAGTTTCTACCTAAAATCAACTACACTCTCAGTATAAGCTCTGGTAATTTCAGTCAAGGAACCATTATGAACTAAAGCTGAAAAACTTAATCAGTAGGCATGAATGCTAATCTAGCCATACAGAAGTGTGGTTACTGCGTGAGTTGTTCCAGATAGTGTGTGTCCTCAGAAGTCTGCTGTGATCTCACTGAGCAGACAGAGACAAGACAGCAGTGCCAAGAGCATTGGTGGAGTCAGCAAACACAAGCACAGAGCAAAGACTCATCAAGGACTCCACAGGAAAAAAAAAAAGAGTACAAAAGTGGTTTGTCTGGTGGAAGACCCGATAGTTAGAGGACAGCCCTTTTTAAACTCAGTGGAAAAGACACATATATACAAGGCACCAGCATAATTACAGAAGCCACTATGCCAGCCTGCCAAGCTGGACTGATGTGGCCTTTTGACCGGGTTTTATTCTTGGATTCAGTCTTCATCTTCTACCCTCCTCCCCCATCACAAAATCAGTTAGTAAATGTAAGCCTTGTATTGTCACAGTGGTTGTGTGTGGTACCACTTTCTCTTCTGAGGTATTTCTATCTGACAGTCTAAATTCTCCACTCCAGTTTGGCATATAAGAACTCCTTTTGATGAAAAGAACTCTCACTATTCTGACTTAAGCTTTAAATGTTTAAAAAAAAATCTTCCATCCAGAATTCCTTGTTTTCCCAAGTAAAGGTTTGTCACTTAGTCTAGACTGTATTCAGCAGAAGCAGAATAATCATATAATTTACCATGAAAATCTTTTTTCATCATCTATGTATAAAACATTGCCTTCTATATGGTACCAAGGAAAAAGTAAAACATTAAAACACATGGATTGTGATGTTCAATAATCACTCAGAGACAAGGTGCTTGACAAAGATCTGCTTCATACAGTGTCACAGTTCTAACTGCCTCAGTTACATAACATGAGCCTCTTAAAGGTACAGTTCCCCACATTGATGAATGGATGTTTTCCTTAATTTAGTCACTACTGTCGCTACTGAAACTGATTAGCGTCTAATGATTTGGTCTAAATCATTTTTAAGAAGCCATAAACTTGGACACTGATATAAGACCTACACGGGAGATCCACCTATATCATTATTAATCACACCTGATTGTTAAACTCTATGCCCATCATATTTGTGTGTATCCCAGGAACGCCTACACAAATAAATTGACTCAGATTTGTGATTTCCTTCTAATGAACTTGAAAGATTTGGAATCTATTTCTTTTCAGATACATTGCTTTGGAATATTCAAGTGATGGTGTGTTGTTCTCACTTTAATCTGCATAAAATATAGTAATCACTTAACATAAAAAAATCTGTTACCTAGTGTCACATTTTTCAAAGGGACCGCAACTTGATGGCACAATTTTTTGTAGGTCCATTTTTTCCACTCAATTTGTTTGTACACACAAACTGTATTTCCAAATGTAAATTACATAGGTAGATATTAAATACCCATTTTGTATTTAATGAACTTGAGAAGAAAGATTTTAGAGACAGCTTTTGAAAATTTGTCCATGAAACTTTAAGATAGACCCAAATGTAGCTTATGTTTTGCAACTAAAATTTAGAAGCAAAATTCTTACTGGAAAAAGCTTTGTGGTTCTCAGTTTCCCACATAGTATTATTCACCAAGTAGACTGCAAGCAATTAAACAAATTGAAAAGTAGTAAATCACAAAGCCACTAGTAATGTGGGAAACTCTGTGGTCAAACAGATATCGAAAAATGCTAGTTGTCTCATCCAATACAAGAAGTGTTTAGTAGTGCACTGCTACTACAGTACAAAGATGTACACACCATATCATTCAGTCTACACACTTCAACTCTTCTGAAGCAAGACTCAGGCTAGAATACAGTAAATGGCAGTGTATATGAATTTGATAATCCCCCTTCATAGCAGAAACTTCAGTTAAGCTGCAAGTAGGGTTCCCTCCCCTCCCCCCAACCAAGCAGCATAAATCCAAACTGTCGGACAAGCATAGCAGATTTTCACATCTCAGGGTATGTCTACACATCAAGCTGGGAGTGATTCCCCGCTTGAGGAGACATCCTATGCTAGCAATCAGAGCTAGTGCGCTAAAAATCAAATGTAGCCACAACAGCATGAGTGGCAGGAGGGGGTAGCCCCCAGTACATACCTGGTGTCTCTGATAGGCATGCACTCAGAGCGGCTAGCCCCTCCCATCACTCAGGCTACACTGTATTTGTAGAGCACTAGCTCAATGAAAGCTAGTGGGTTAATGTGACCTACAGCTGGGAATCACACCCCTAGCTCAAAGTGTAGACAGAACCTTAGTCAAGCCTGG